AATTAAGATCATGTTACCGAACATCTCTAGATCTGGCGGTCGAAAATAAATTGACAAGCATCGTAAGGCGCTTGCCTCTTAGGTTTGTCTATGGGATGTTCTGACGATATATTTCTTTCAGGCGTTTTGTTCAGTGTCCACCGGCATCTATGGATATCCCATTCATGACGCTACTCATATCGCTTTAAAGACTGTACGCGAATATCTGGATTCCTCGGAGGGAGACTCAGTACGCCATCCTGATTCATCGTTCTTTCTCGATTTCTGACATCGCTATGTAGTTGGAAAAAGTCGTTTTCGTTGTTTGGAGCGACAAAGATAGGGACGTCTATCAGTAAGTTTACAGCTTTTCTACAGTATTTCATCCTTAATATGCGCTGACCAGCTGTTCAAGGGAATTGATTCCACAATATTTCCCTCCGGAGCCTGCCCTATCCGAGTCAGGGCTGACTTCTGAAAGTATCACCACTGAGGCGGAAGATAAGTCGTGAAATTTTCGTGCAATATTTAACAAATCAGGTTCGAACCTGTAAGGATATGCCGATTTGTAATTTTAATCCTTATAACGAAAATTGGAGAAACCAGATTTAATCGCGCTTCTCAAGGACTTGACATTATGAACGCTGCTCATGACGATACAGAGCGGACCGCCGGAATATTCATGGGCTTATAACCTATTTGGAAGGTTGTCCGTTTGACAGAGTGAATGCCATTCCTAACTTTAAGCTATTGAAATGCTCTGGTTCCTGGGTCACATTAGCTCGCTATAGAAGCATAGAAGCTCTAATCAGCGAAATGGAGAAAGCTGGGCATATACGACGTCTAACAGATACTCCACGGCCCGTAGTGAGGACCGTCTCATGTTAATCAAGCTTTAAACAGTAAGCATTACCCTCGGAAGCAATTAATTTGGACTACCGACGGAACCCATTACTATGCCGGCTTCACCTCCTCCACCTCCTCCACGAATTTCGGTCCTTCTTCTGCCGACTATTAGCCGCCGCGGCTGGAGTCCTATAATATCCTTATTTGCTGGCAGTATTTATATCTCGTTTTCAACTTCATGAAACTTCAGCTCTAACTCGGTACTTATCACTATGCTAAGAACTCGATTTGCGCTTTTGTTGTCTCTGCCCTGTTTCATTCCTATGGTCGTCTCACAAAGCGGCGCCTGGGGACAATGCGGTGGACAGGTATGTGCTTTTTCAATTCAGGGTAATTTTCATCTTTAATCTATACTAATAGGGATGGACTGGTTCCACCACGTGTATTTCTGGTTATGCATGCATATACTCAAATCCCTACTATTCTCAATGTCTCGCTGCCTCAAGTAGCCCTTCCTCTTCAACCGGTTCTAATCCTACATCCACGGCCACTGGAGCGCCTACTGCTTTGCCTACCACAGCAGTAGGTCATCTTCCAGCACTGGGGTAATTGTATTATTGCATCAAAACGGTGTAATTTCTAATCATCTCTCCTTCTATTAAAGATGGAACTCATGGAATGCCTATGCCGGAAGTACGTTGTAATATGAAAACAGGTTATATAACTTATTAACCGAGAATACTGTTAGATATCAACGAATCAAGAATTCTTGGAGCTGCTCAAGACATCGTCAACTTGGGACTGAAGGATGCTGGATATCAATATGTTAACATTGTGAGTTGGTTTGAATAAACGCATTTATGGTGCTCATTATTTCTGACTACTTCCTCCAGGATGTACGTAACTGAACCTCTTGTGTGTGGTGACCGTTGACGAAATATTTTCAAACCAGGATACTTGGTCAGACATCAGTGGTCGGGATTCTTCGACACAAAGGATCAAACCTGATTTGACCAAGTTTCCGAACGGCATAGATGGCCTGGCGACCAAGGTAACTGATCCAGTGATATCATCCTGAAGTTGGAATGCGACTAACCGATTATGTTCATGAAAGATCCACAATTTAGGTTTGAAAATTGGCATATATAGGTGTGTCCCTTGTGTCTGTTCTTTCATACCCGAGCATATATTCATTTGCTCTGTAGTGATGCCGGTACCAAAACCTGCGCTGGATATCCAGGCTCTCTTTATTATGAAACTATTGATGCTCAAACCTTTTCCCAATGGGGAATCGATTGTAAGCATACGCTCCTTAGCGATTAACTTTCAATTAATAATCATGTGATGCAGATTTGAAATATGGTAAGGCGTTGGAAATAGCTTTAGACGCAATGACATACTAACGCTGCTCTCATTAGACAACTGCAATGTTCCTAGCAATTGGACTGACACCACAGTACGTAGGCTTTATCTACACATTGATCATTCAAGTATTTATTATGATGAAATCTAGAACAATGCCGCGAACTATGACTGGTATAACTCGAACAGTGCCATACGATACCGTCGCATGACGTACGATCTCTCTTTCCACCCTTCTAATTATAACATATGAATTCTCCATATAGTGCTGCACTCGATTCAGTTTCTAGACCTATTCAATACGATCTCTGCATCTGGGGAGACGCAAATGTCTGGACATGGGGTAGTCGGGTGGTGAGTAGCAGCCACGTAATCTCAACGCGGAGCCAGGGACTGACAATACAAAATGCTGTTCTAGGGACATTCTTGGAGGTAAATTGATCTAAAACGATCCGTTCAGAGGCTCATGCTTTATGTGTAGAATGACTGGCGATGCCACTGCAACCTGGAGCTTCATTTCCAGCGCGATTGCTAATAACGCAAAGTATCTCAATTACGTCCAGTTCGGAGGACACAATGATATGGATATGATGGTACTACTATCGCACGATTTCTCTTATTTCCAGTTCTTATGTATTATTGCAGGAAATCGGTAATGGCAATCTCACGATAGAAGAACAAAGGACCCACTTTGCTGCATGGATCTTCATGAAGTCGCCTATCTTGTTGGGAACTACTGTGAGTGTCGACCGTTTGATGACGAAGATGATCCGCGATTAATATAATAACACGAAACCGCAAGCTGAACCTACTGTCCTCTGCACAACTTGCCATAGTCAAGAACTCTGAACTTTTGGCATTCCATCAAGACAGCACAGTGGGAGCTCCGGCAATGCCTTTTGGAACAGCCACTACCAGCCCTCCGGAATTTTATGCGGGCACCTCAAGCAAGGGAACACATGTTTTCATCATAAACACCGGCAGCTCTTCAGCCTCCAAAATAGTCACCTTCAGTCAAGTTCCGGGATTGAAAGCGGGAAGTTTCAAAGTCCATGATATGTGGATGGGTACTGACGTAGGGACTTTCAACAGTTCCTACTCGGTTACCTTGGCGTCCCATGATACTGCTGCTCTTCTCATTACTCCTGCATAAGACTATGTAGCCAGGCCTTGAGAAAAGAATGTATACTTTGTGTTATGAATTGATGGAGGTATATTAATCTACTTCAGTCCCCATCGGATGTGATATTGTCCTCCACGAGAGTCAGACAAGCCTGAAGGGATACGAATCATTTCAATCCGCGAAAAAAAGATCAGGCATTGTATGATTAAAAACCCTATCATTGAAACAACTTGCTGATAGTGCCAGGCACTATTACACTTTGTGGTACAAAAAATAAAATCACACTGAAAGATTTTCGCAAGATCATAATATGTCCGTACTAGGCATTGTCCGGAGACACATTCGTTCAATAACTCAAGACAATAAAGCTTGAGATAGCGTTGTCCAAGTCAATCGTGGACAAGTTGTCATTGCCTGGGAATACGAAAGCAGCGTTTGCTGTCCCAGTACAGCCAGCGTTGCTGTGAAAATAACGCTTGAGGTTCATCTGTTACGTGTAGGAAATATTCAAGAACATACGTGAAAGCGATGACCTAGAAACACCAGTTAGGACTGTATATAAAGGAAGAAAATGGAGAATATTGGAAAAACGTACCGAAGTATGATTGTCTGGACCTATCGCCGAAATCCTTTTGTCCCAGTCGGCACCCAGAGTAATGCAGGTGTTCAAGGGGTACACCGAATACTCACAGGGTAATGGCCAGAAAGGCAAGTCGCAAAAATATACCCCTCCAATCTAAACTGAAGGTCAGTGCTTAATCAATTCTACTTATCAACATTGAAACTTGCGTTACGAGGTCTCAAGGCATTGGAGTTGGGATACGTTGGAGCAGACATCGCTCCTGCAAGGGCTAGCGTAAGTATAGAAATAAGGGAAAGCATTGTAAACAAAGGGATTGTCTTTTCTGCAGAATAATTAAAGAAAGTATTAGTATTGTTTGTAGGCGGTACAAGTCAGATCTGAGTAAAGCTTACAGCTATTAGACTTTAGCCTTTGCCAGCTCCATGTAAACAAAAGCCGTCTTTCATATACATTTCTCGTAACTAAAATTAGGATTATGTATGGTATCTTATCCGGGTAGGGTCAGTAGGGCACGGAACATACGCCATTCCACTCGAGTCGCCGGGACTTTCGGCGTAAGATGGCTGATATTGTTGCCCTGAAACTCTAAGTTGAACCTCCATTCTCCGGTCACGGGAATGGTTTCGGGGAGCAAAAGGATCGCACCGTCCTTAGTACTTATACTTAGTCGAAAAGTGTCGAAGTGTTTGAATGTATAGTAGTGTTGGGGGTGTAAAATCTCAGGGTTTCATATAGAAATCTATCCAAAATACTTACGTTAATAGGAATTCATGGAATCAGAGTGTAAATAAATTGCGAACGCGGACCAATGTTAACAGGGGTCATGCACCGAATCTTCCTTTGGTAGTTGCCAGTGCGGGATCATGAAAAGGAGAGGCAGTCAACTCACCGTATATCGACGATTGGCGTATGGCTCGTAATACGCCGCGAACCCCGAGTTCTTCATTAATATGGGTTCATGGACAGTTTTCCCCTGTCGATCGACAACTTTTGAGGCGGGGGAATGAAAGGGAAGGATATAAAGGCACTCTTCCGCTTTCGCGGCTTTTGCTGTGTCACTTGAGATACATCACACCATAGGTTATTACGCATCAATTATTTATAAGCGGGCATGTGGTTTAGGGGTATAACATTCGCTTAGCAATCTAAAGGCTGCGAAAGGTCCTGGGTTCAATTCCCAGCTTGTCCACGCTTTTGTTCTCGTTGTAGAGCTTGCGAATGTTTTATTTCAAGGATTTTCTCAGTTAATTTAAGCGATATAAAAGGACCTCTCAAGAGTGTAAGCTCCTGTCTCTTTCTATCTTTTTCTTTCGGATTTTTCTTCGAAAACAGACTGTTTAATTCCTAAAACGCAATAGACGTATCGCAGATTTTTCCTTCTGGAGGATTTTATTCTAAAGAAATCAGTGGGTTGAGGTTGGCCTATTTATGGACATTCTTGGGTAGCTTGGTGGCGCGCTCCGAAGCCAAGGGCCTGTGACAAACGTTACGGACCGTCACATCCCTCAAAACTTTTCCGCAACTTCTCCATGATTGTTCAACGATCATAGGAGGAGAAGATGCTCAGCTTGACTTCGCTACCTGTCGAGGTAAGTAGGCGTGGTACGCTTGAGTTTATTACTTACACCAATATCGTTGTATAGCTTTTCGAGGATATATACCTCTTGGCACTTTCTCCTTCGCTCCCCCTTACCTGCAAATATATATATTCAGCGATTAAAGGATTGCCTTCATCCTCGCATGCAAAATACCTGATAGGCATAAACGAGCCGGAGATCGGATTAAACGACGGTTCTCCATGTATCTCAGGAAGATATCTCGCCAAGGTGCTCCGATATCCTATATGTACGGTTCGAGCCCTGGAGGCGATGTATCGCATGCTTGACCAACGATACAGAATAGAACCTCATATGGTAAAGGAGCTATCAAGATCTGCATATCGGTGCGACTTACCCAGACGAATATTCCGGCACCTGGGCAGCTCTGATACAGCCATTGACCGCGATTCAGAGCCTCTTCCGCTGTTACGATACCTTTGCAAGAAGCCATCTGGTTCGTTATACTGGCCAGAAATCTTGGCAGACTCTAGCAATGGCTATCCATTGGTTCGTGCTGTCAACGCACGATCCGTTGACTTGATACGGTGGTTGCTGGACCGAAACGCGGATCCCGGGCTACGTGATGGGATGGCGATCAAAGTGGCAATTGGGTTGAAGGATTTGGAGTTGATGCAGATGCTCGTTGAACGAGATCCTGTTCAAGTGAAGGGTGGAAGCAAGAAACGCCGTAGAGTGGATAGAGTGTCGGTGACGCCTGCGATGCTGGATATGGCTGTTAAGGCCGATGCGAGGGACATTGTACAATATTTCATGGAGAAGGGTGTTGTTCCGAGTATGAAAACTTTATTGGCTATGTCCGGTATGGATTCTTTCCATCACTGCTTGTCTGTATGTCTGAACGTCATCCCAGGTTCACCGAATTCCAAACATGGATAATCTCCAGTTTGTATCTATTGTAATAGTCCGACAGTCTTCAGGGTCATTAGACTAGTTCCCATGAGAATCGTGTCGCGAATCGTGTCGCATATTCCCCTCTCCGCCACACTTCCCCATATACTTGTTCTACTTCGTTTCTACTTCTTTCCTGCCTCGGGTGGTCGGGGAATACTATCAATCTCCCGGATCGGAGAGTGGAAATCCAATCATGACTGCTAAATTCGTTTGCGGTGACCTTCTACTTACTAAGAACGTTAGTCAGATTCCACCATCTCTCGTCATGGTACTAGTAGCTCATTACTATACCCATTCGGAGATCTCCAGACAAGACATGATTCGTGGCGAGCAACAGGGACTGCAAGTCCGTAAAGGTCCGTAAGGAATAACAAATAAGATAAGTGACTAAGAGTTGCCATCCTCGTGGCGTTGTTATGAAAGAGTCCATTTTGGGCGTATCGATGGCCATTTCCTAATGAAGCAGTTTAGCGTAGAAAATACGCATGATCTTTTAATTTCTTGAGTTCTTGGAGATCTAATGAAGTAGTTCGTAAATCAGAAACATTCCTTTATTCCATAGAACGTCGACTGCAGACAGCAAATCTTCACAACGAGGGGAAAGAAACAATCGAGTGACAACGTCCTCTCGATCAGGCGTGGGAATGTTGATTCCGGAAGCTTGTTCCGGACCAAGTCAAATGTTCAAGCGCTCGTAAGCCGAAGTATGTCGCCGCAAAAAGTTGAATAATATAAGACCACCCTAGCTGTCCTCCCTCCTCCATCACAGCACCCCTCACCCAACAAAAAATGCAAGGCTTTCCTGCAGATCATTTCTTGTCACTTCCTCGTCCGGGGGTCAGTCATCTGGGTCCAGCTCCGGATACCTCAACGTTGGCTGCGCATGATTTCGATGTTGACGTGCGAACAGGTTTCATGCCACCCCAGCCCCCGCCTGCCCATCTATCTGATGAATATAGAGTATGGGAAGATATTTTGGAGGAAGCCACGACAAAAAGGTTGAAATTAGGGGACGTTAGCGATGCTCAGGCAGCTGGAGAATCAGCAGCATGGCGACGGAGAGTGGAAGAGGTGGGTTCTATTCGAATTCCCCCATTGAGCATGATAGCTAATATGGCTGCTTCATCAGATGCCTATTTCACCAACTGAACTCTTAACGACGTCAGAGACTATGCTCCGTCGGGCACACTTGGTCCTCACATTCATCCTTCACTTCTATGTCCATACCCTCCCTCCCGTTGAGGACCTCGCCAACTCTCCTATCTATATCCCCCGCTCCCTCGCCACCCCCCTCTTACAGGTTTCGGCCAATCTACTCCTCCCTCCAGTGCTCACGTACTCTGACAACGTGCTGTACAACTGGGACCTCTCCCCAGCTCCCAAGCCGTTCGCGTCGATCAACTTGGAGCACCTCCACTCACAAACCACCTTTACCGGCACTTCGGATGAGGAGGAGTTTTACCTCACATCCTCGCGAATTGAGCTCGTAGGAGTGAATGCACTGGCCCTCCTCCGAGCCATCGAGGATGAAGCTTTCGTAGGCGACCTCCTCTCCCTGCGTTGCATCTCCGATTATCTCGCCCAATTGGCTGTCATCATCGAGGAGATGACCAACGTCTTGAGTGACGTCCGTAAGGGCTGCGAGCCTGCTACATTCTACCACCAAATCCGGCCGTGGTTCCGTGGTCAGATGCCTGGCGGAAGGCCATGGATCTTTGAAGGCGCTGAGACACAACCCACGGAGCTCTCAGGGCCTAGTGCAGGGCAGAGCTCGATCATCCATGTTTTGGATGTTTTCTTGGGCGTCGACCAGTTCTCGCATGTCCATACTGGGAGAGCAGACGCCCCGGGAACGAAGAAGTCGGCTCAAACCGGGGAACCCGCACAGAAGGAAACTCCGTTCTTGGAGAGGATGAAGGCATATATGCCTCGTCACCATAGGGCGTTCTTGAACCACCTTAAAGCCAGCCAGAGGCCATTGAGAAATATCGTAGAGGCTGAACCATCCACCGCATCGGAAGAAGAGCGCGAGGTCAGAAAGGAGCTGAGGACGAGTTACAATGAATCTGTCACTGCCTTGAAGAAGTTTAGAGATGCGCACATCAAGATTGCAACCCTGTATATCATTAACCAAGCCAGGAAAAGTCAGCCTCTGCTTGGGGAAGATCCGCCGGTTGCAAAGGGAACTGGGGGAACGGATCTAGTGCCGTTCTTGAAAGGAGTCCGGGACAAAACGGCGTCTGCAGTTTTGAAGAATTGAGTATATTTTTTATTCTAATTGTATGTTTGGACGGACGGACCTGTACAATAATTATTCGATATTTTTATGGGGTTTGTTGTGGATACTGGGATACCACGTTCTAGATATTTTACTGGATTTATATAATTGTTCATAATTCTGACATGTAAGAAAGCAATGTGAATCCCTTTGAATCCGTTTCATCTCAAGGTTACTCGGATGTTGCTCGGCGAAAGATGATAATCTCTGTTCAAGGGCACATATCTAGATATATATTCTGGAAGTGAGCGTCAGTAAATAGAGTTCACGTATGTGTGATAAATAAGAATCAGAGGTAAAATATCTCATGAAGAGATAGTAAAAGCCGGATGGAAAGTCATTCTGCTTTCCAAATCCCCCAGAGGGGATTTCAAAGCGTCATATGGCCCCGGCGGAAATCATCACGTAAAGTAAACAGCAAATAAAACTCACTATTGATACAGCATTAGGCAGTGGCAAAAAAATCTCGCCACAGAAAAGCGCAAAGCGATGCAGAAGGAAGAAACATCCGGAGCCCGGTGGAGGTGGGAACAAACCACAAACCAAACGCGCGGTTAGTCATCCTATGACGTAATCAATTTCGTTTCGTTTGTTGGCGCAGTGCCTCTTCACAAATAGACCACTTTTTAAAGGCTTAAGGTCGGGTGCTCATCTTTTGCTACATACCCACCATGTCTGCGCCATCGCTGATATCCACAGAAGTCCTCTCCGAACAACAAGTAATCGATGGATTTCATACGTTCTTGCAGACGTCGTTGGCACAAGCGAAAGCTGAACGACTCCTTGATACGGATACGTTGGCGAGTGCAGAGGCTGATTTGATGATATCAGGTATGTATGGGGATCTTCATACAAGCTCGGCTGTGGCATTGATTGCTCATTTTCTCTAGGACCAGCCCTGTGTCTTTACTTCGGTGCATTAAGGTCGACTTCCGACCCTCCTACAGTTCCCTTACCCCGAAGTCGCTCAGACCGGACCCTCGAACCCCTCCGATTATCCAAGAACACCTGTCCAGCTGCCCTCCAGCCATTCATCGAAGTCTGGTCGCGAGCCGTACCTGAAATTCAAAGACTTCCCTCCGTGTACCAACATGACCTCGCACGCGTCATATGTGGTTTACCCCAAGTTAGCGAACCATCCAACCCCACTGTGAACGGTCTTGCGGCAGATTTGCGGGCTATAGCGATTGAGATTAGCCAACGCAGGACGTTCCAGGAGCGGTATCAAGTCGACTTGCAATATGCTTTGGACGCGGGGCTGGAAGCGAGAAAGACTCCTTCGAATACTGCGCATTTCATGCCGCCGCCGATGTATTCCGAGAAGGACACATCTTCCACTGGATCGCGCACTCCAGAGCCAACTACGCCTGAACCCGCATCCATCACGTTCACAATGCCGGA